CGGCCGGAGCGGGCAGCTTGCTAAACAAGTTAATTCGATCAGGGCATGGGGCTGGCGCGGAGCGAGGCCCCACTGTCGGGCTGCTGGAGCTGTGAAAAGTTAATTGAATTAAGTTTTCCCTCTAAACTAATTAGGCAGCAATCTGCCACGCAAGGAGCTGCTGGTGCTACCCAGAGACGGGCAGAGCCGGGAGGGCGAGGAGGAGGAGGAGGAGGGGGGAGATGTAGGGGGAGAGCAGAGGCAGGGGAACATGGAGGGGATGGGACGCAGCCGGGGGTAGAGCCGCGGCTCCCGTGGGATGGGGGTGATCCCTGCGGGCTGTGGGGGATGCAGGGACACGGGTGCTGGCAGTGTCCCCGGTGCTGCCCTGTGCGGGTGGGTAAAGGCTGGCGCCTCCTGCTCCCGGAAGGGGCAGCACCGGCAGCGGGGAGGGCAGAGCACAGTGGTGGGGATGGGGACAGGGACCCCCATCCCTCCATCCCATCGTGAGCTGGGAGCTGCTTGGAAACATGTCCGTGTGCCTGGTGGGTCGGGGTCCCCCCAGAGCTGGTCAGGGGGGTTGATGGGATCCTCACCAACGGGATCCTTTATGATAGAACGGCTCCAAAGGAACTGTCCTGATGGGACCCCTGTCTGATGGGGGTCTCCTTGCAGTGGCACTCCCTGAATGGGACCCCTCTGGTGGGTGGACTCCTTCTGGTGGATCCCATGCTTTGATGGGACCCCTCCACAAGATCCCCTCTGGTCACACTCCAAACTCCCCCAGCTCTAGCCCCAGCTCGGTTGGGATGACAGCACACACCTCATCACTGCCCACACACTCTCCAGCCTTCATCGCCCCATGGAGTGCCCCAGATGATGTGTCAGGAGGTCCTGGTGGGTCCCCAGCCCCACAGCTGCCCCCAGCGGTGCTGGAGGCCTCTGCCCACTGCCACTGTTCTGGGACAAAGCTGGGGTGCTCCAGGGTGTCCTGAGCCCCCACCCTGAGCCCTGCCTGGATTGGGTGCCAGCCTGAGGTTCAGATGTGGGGAACTGAATGGGTCTGGCACAGCCAAAGAGGATTCTTCTCCCAGATCCCGTGTTCCCAGGCACTCTTCCTGGCAGTGGAAGCCCATTTACTGTACTGGCACCAAGAAAAGCACCTCAAAGGGCTGTGGAGAGCCCATGCGGCTCCTGCCTGTGGGGCTACGATCCATGGGGCTGGCATGGCTTGGCATGGTGGGATGTGGATGTTGGAGGGTGGCACAGTGTGTACTGGCACAGCCTGGAATAGGGTGCTGTGACTTGGCATGACAGAGTGTGACCTGGCACAGCATGACATGGCACAGTGTGATTGATGGCACAGCACGGTGTGACAGGGTGTGACACAGCACAGCAGGGCAGGGCACACCTGAGGGCACAGCCAGAGAACAGCTGTGCCCAGAGGTGCCCACCCATGCACAGGTACATGTTACACCTCTGTGCTGCCATGCACACACATGCAGAGCTCACTGCACACCGTGTGCACCTCTGGAACTGGATCTGACCTTAGGAGGATCCAGAAGAGCCTGGTGACACTTCTAAACCCTCCAGGGATGGGATCCTGCTCCAGCCCATGGCATTAAGCCATGAAAAAAGCTACTGGGATAGGAAAGAGGTTCAAGGAATCCCCCACCAATGCTCCTTGTATCCCTGGAAGACAGGAACCAGCTCCAGAACCAACCCTCCAGGGGACATCAGGGTAGGGGTAGCAGTGGGATGGGGATCCTATCTGTATCCCAGGGACAGTGGCTTGGGGCTCATTAATCCTGGGAGGATTCCATTTCTGTATGTATTTCATGCTCTACTCTTTGAAACCCTGTCTGGGGTAGCCCCACTAGTAACCATGTCTCCTGTTCCACATGAGCAGCTCCCTGAAGGAGCCCCCATGGGACAAGGGGACAACTTGGACAGCTCAGTTCCACTTGAGATATTAAATATTTCCTGGAAGAAGGTCATCCAAAAAAGATTCAGCCAGGGGTTTGCACCCAGCCTGGCTGGGCTGGTGAGATGTGACAGTGGGTCCCAGCTCCCAGTGGTATTCCCCACTCTTGGTGACATTCCTGGCTCCTGGTGATGAGCAGGAAACCCAGGAGTGCCCTGGGATGAGTGTGGTGATGTCAACAGCTGCTCCTTGTGGGGACACAAAGGGTTGGATGCACATAGCATGTTTATTGCCACAAAGAAATGGGGACAATACAGAGCAAGTGCCTGGTGGCTTTTATCCTCACTCAGTTCCCATTCCTCACCTTGCCAGCCCAGCTGACCCAGCAAGCCCCCTCCCATGGGAATGACAAATTTATCCCAGCCCCCGCATGGTCCGCAGTTTGCTTCTCCCTTCCTTAAAAAACTCCAGCACCCTGTGAAAGCCCAGGACCATCCACTGCCCCATCCCTGGATGGCACCAGGGCCCCTTGTCACACACAGCTGCACCCCCAGAGCTCTCCATGCCCACCCCAGGCAGCTCCTGCCCGTATCCATGTCCATGTCCGTATCCGTGTCTGTGTCCGTGCCCAGCGTGGCAGGGCTGTGGCTCTGCCCTCTCTGGCCCCTCGCTCCAGCTCCCGGGGTGTTTTACTGTCACTGGGAGTGGCCAGCACTCACAAGAAGTAAGTGATGTTTTTGGGGTTCAGCGGCGCCTGGATCTCCAGTTTCCGGGCCTTGCGGTCCTTCTCCACAATCTCCAGCCGCAGGGTCGGCACCTTGCATTTCTCTGTGCTGGGGGAAGATCCCTCTGTGGTTTTCAGCAGCTGCTTGTCCGAGTCCTCCACGATGATCCTGAGGGTGCAGCCCCGTGGCAGCAGGTCCTGCTCGTAGGCAGCTGCCAGCTGGTTCACCACGCGCCGCTCCACCTGAGGGACAGACAGATTCCGTCAGGGAATCCCTGTGGAGAGTCTCCCATGGAGATGGCCAGCTCCTCCCCACCCTCAGGCAGTGCAAAATCATGCAAACTCTTCTTCATCCCACTGATTCCCTGTCTCTGGAGTGTGGGTGTGCCCCTTCCTCCACGAGACCACAGACATCTCCCCAGGGATGAGGACAGTCAGACCCACACAGTCATGAAATCATGGAAGGGTTTGGGATAAAAAGGACTTTAAAGTTCATTAACATTCCACACCCCCCTGCCATGGGCAGGAACAGCTTCCACAGACCAGCTTGCTCCAAGCCACGCCCAACCTTGCCTTGAACACTTCAGGGATGAGGCTGCCACAGCTTCTCTGGGCAATCTGTATCAGGGCCTCCCCACCCTCACAGGGAAGAATTTCTTCCCAATATCCCATCTAACCCTGCCCTCTTCCAGTTTGAAGCCATTTTCCCTTAATTTATTACTCCAGACCCTTGTACAAAGTCCCTCTCCAGCTGTCTTGGAGCCCTTTAAGGCACTGGCAGGGTCTCTAAAGTCTCCCCAGAGCCTTCTCTTGCTCAGTATGAACACTCCCAGCTCTCCCAGCCTGTCTCCACACCAGAGGGGCTCCAGCCCTCAGAGCATCTCCATGACATCCTCTGGATTTGCTCCATGACTCCATCTCTCTTTTGATGCCTTTCCAATTCTGGCTCTCCCTGGGCAGTGGGGCTGGAGATGACTTCACAAACTTCACCCCAGCTTCCCCCTTGCCTTCACCTCGTGTTTGATGGAGCGGGCACCGTAGTGAAGGTTGTAGCCATCAGCCAGCACGTCCATGACCTCCCTGTCCCACTGCAGGGTGATGTTGTGCCTTGCCTTGGCCTGCCAGGGGGGAAGAAGGAAAAGGAAGGAGAATTATGGATGTTCCCCAGCAAGGCTGGCACCCTTCTCCTCGAGCAGTGAGGATGCTGCACTGGGGGGCTGAGAAGGGCTGAGCTCCACCAGGCCAGTTCCTCCACAACAAAGGAACCCCAAAATCCCATTTTGCCCTCAGAGAGCTGAGATGTCCAAAGACCAATTAGACAAATGACATCTATGAAGGCAGCCTGGAGCTCATCCCTGCTGCAGTCCAAGAGGAACCATCTCTGCTGCTCCCAGATGTCCCAGCTCTCCCCAGCACCCCAAGTTCAACAGCTTGTATGATGACCCCAAGACGGGTGCTCCAGAAGTGATTTCTTCTGGAGTTACTCTGAAAGTCTCCTCTAAAGCCACTGATGTTTTTTTACCTTTTTTGCCCAAAAATTGAGCTCCTTGTTGACCAGCTGGATGAGCTCTGAGTGGCAAAAAGGGAGAAAATAGACAATTTCATTGATCCTGCCCAAGAACTCGTCCCGTCTGAAGTGAGCCTGCAAGAACAAGAGAGGAGGTCAGGAGGGACAGGGATGGTGACCCTGATGGGAACAGCAGGGAGAGTGGCACTGCAGAAGGAGCTCCCCAGGGATCATCCCACCTCCCACAGCTCCCAAGAGCCATCCAACCCCCACACCATGGCGCTGGACAGCAACAGAAACATCTTAAAGAGACTGAAGATCGTGGGGATGTCACTGCAGTCAGGCTTTCCTGACCTTGGGAGAACAGAGAGCCCCCAAATCACTGCAGCACTTCCTGCCTGTGTCCCCTTTACACCATGGCTCCACTCCAAGAGTAAAGAAGCTGGTATTTATTTCTGCTGGGCTCTGACCTCTCTAACATTTTAGTGGGGTTACATCCCTTTCTCATAGCTGGTAGAGAAACACAGGGAAGGAGTCTGGGACCAAAGCTCAGGACACCTGAAACCTGAGCCATGAGCACACTGTCCATACCTTCAAGATGGGGCGAATAACCTTCTCCTTGAACTGCTTGGAAATGGTGATCTTGTCGGTCATCTGGACATCCTCTGCAAGAGAGGTGGAGGGGTGTGTCAGTAGGGACAGTGGGACAGTGGCTCCATCTCTGTCCGGATGAGCTGAGGGCAAGGAAGGCTCTGGGAGGTGCTGCAGGACAGACCTGGGATCTCCACATGTGCCAGCAGTTTTCTTTGGCACTGCGGTGTCCCTGCACTTGGACAGCAGTTCTGGTGCTGTGGTGCTCCAGGGGAACATCCTGTGCTGATGTGGCTCCCCTGAATGGCCAAAGAGCCCTGGCTCTGCCTCTGCTCCCTGCTCTGTGCCCACAGGAGTTGCTCCCAGGGGTTTTGGGAAGCTCAAGTGCCCAGTTGGGGTCCAGAGCAGCCAATGACCTGTCACACAGAGCACACTGGCCCTCTGGGGCTGTGAGAACTGAGCCTGGGGTGTCTTCAGCAAGCACCAAACTCCTGCTCAGGGTGCCTGCAGCACTGCTCAGGCTGCAGTATACTTCCCTCTGCTGACTGCAGATGGAGCCAGGGTCTGGCTGCTCTCAAATCCTGCCTCCCAGACACTCTGCATGCTTGGCTGCAGCATCACCCTTCTTCCTCCCAGTGCTGTCTTTCTCTTTGTCTTCATCACCCCAGTTCTTCCCACAGCTTCACCCATTCCACCCCCATTTGCCTCCATGTGCTGTTTGACCCCAGGGTGCTCACAGGGAGGAGATTCCTGTGCTCTGGATTGGATCCTGGCAGGCAGGGAGGGCACACAGGCCCATGCTGGGTGCTGGGACCCTGTCCCGGCTTTGCAGCCTTGATGAAGATTGCTGTCCCCCACCAGAAGGGGCAGAAGGGGTTCTCAAGAGGTAGTTTAGGTTGGAGAAGCCGTCTGAGACCGTAAAGTCCAACCATTCCCAGCACTGCCAAGACCACAACTAAACTGTGTTCCCAAATTCCACATCCACACATCTTTTAAATTCTCCAGGGATGGGAACTCCACCACTGCTCAGGGCAGCCTGTGCCATGGCTGGACAACACTTCTGGGGAGTGAATTTTCCCAATATCCAACCTAAACCTCTCCTGGCATAAATTGAGACAGTTTCCTTTTGTCCTGTCACTTGTTACCTAGAAGGACACACTGATGACCACGTGGCTGCATCCTCTGTTCAGGCAGCTGTAGGGAGTGAGGGGGTTCCCCCTAATGCCCAAAGAGGTGCTCTGGAATCACCTGATCCACTTCCAACCCCTCTCTCTTGGGCAAGGATGCCAATAACTCCCAGTGTTTTGGCAGAGGAGAGCTGGAAAGGCAGAGGAGCCAGCACTGCTACCAGCATTCCCACTTCCCACATGTAATATCTGCTCCTGCCACTGGTAGATGCAGAGCCCATTGAAGAATCTGCTCCTTCCCTTTATCTTCCCATTTATCTCCCTGCCAGGCACTTCAGTGACTTCCTGCCATGGCATCTCCACACTGAGAGCTCAGAAAATGGGCAGGAGCTCTTTGAAACCCAACTGAGGGCAGCTGCTGTGCCCAAATGCCCTCCCCAGCTCCTCTCCTGATGCAGCTGCACTGTCCCAGAAATTAAAATTCAATGCTCTCCTCACTGAGCAGGGAAACTGTGGCATTTTCAAATGTTATTCTGGAAGGTTCAGTTGATGATGTGTTCTGTCCTTTACCCAGCCTGATTGAAGTTTAAAGATTCTGAATTAAGCCAGTGTCGACAGCCACTTCTCCAAAGTAAAAGGAAGAGACTGGGAGAAAGAAGCTGGAAAATAGATTTGATGACAAAATCCAATGTTTTTTCCTGCTCCCGTGGAGCTGATGCAGGAATATGGTGTATCTGAGATGGCACAGGCTGCTGGATACCTTGAGAAAGATGTGGCATCCAGACAATTAAGATCATAAAAGGATCTTAAAAACCCCAAAGTAAGTTTTTAAAAAACTGATGAGAAAAGAAGGGATGCAGTCACTGTTCATGGTTTCCTGGTTCTCCACAGGCACAGCAGCACCTGATGGAAACAGGCTTTTCCTCTCTCCATGTGACGAACATGGCCTAAAAGGGACAGTCCTTGGTGCTAGCATCACCATCCATCTGTATATCCTCAGAGTTACCAGCAAAGGCACTGGATTTTGCACATCAAGTTGTTCATTTTCAATCTCAGAGACTGCCCTTGCTCTCCTTATTCCCCTTTTATTACCTAATTCACATTTTAGGAAATTTTTCTCCAGCAGCCTGATATGTGAGGCCAGGGCTCCCATTCCACAGTGCAGTAAAATTCACTAAGCTCAGTCCTTTTGGGAAGGACTGAGAGGAAACAAAACTTTTCCTCTTTCATATGAGCACCTGAACCAGCCACAGTCTTTTGCAGGAAGCATTTGGAAGGGTCTCAAAAGAAAGAGAAGGGTAATTTGATAAAGAGAATCATGGAATCACATAAGAGTTTGGATTGAGAGGGACCTTAAAGACCATCCAGTTTCAACCCACCTGCTCTGAAATCCTCATTATTTGACATTGTATCTATCAGAGGAAGACTGCATCTTTAAGGCTCTGTCCAACC